TGTTTCGACAAGGTTTTGTCATGATCACCTGACTCATTTTTGTTAACTTATGAATAATATAAGTTTAATACCAATATTAATTCGGGAATATGCTTACTCTAAACATTTAAATGTTTATAAAAGTTGAAATGGCCGTCATAAGAGATTGGTCATTCCTCTTGACTAGAATTTATGGATATGTATTTTTATTCTCATTGATTTTTACCTTTGCCAATTCCCTGAATTCCTAATAAAGAATGACATTCAGAGAACATCTAAACAGTCTAAAATATAAATAAACCTATTTTGACAAGGTACAGCTACTTTACAATATTAGATATTTATAATCGACTAAAACAGAGCTCATAAAATACATTTCAGGAATGAACTGGATCTTTTGTTAAAATAGTGTAAAAAATTTAGCTTTAATTAAAGCATCCTCATTGTTCTCACTCAAGCAGATAAAACTAAATCTTCTGGTTCAGTGAGTTAATTTATTATTACTTTCTTAAGTGCTAAAAGGTTTTGACTTTCCTCACCTTAATTTGATGTATTTTGTGTGTTTATGTTTTTAGCACAAAGGTACAGAATGGATTCCTTGAACTTGTTCACCGTGGGGAAGTAATCATATAGTTTTAGCTTTGTAAGTCCATAAACTTACCACTGATCCACCAAGGGACCATAATTTAATAACTAGTTAGTTTTGCAATTATTTCGGTGAAGTATTAAAGAGTGTAAATATAATTAATCATACTATATCATTATATGTAATTCTCATATCATGTGAGTATACTTTCATTGTATGATTGGTTTATTATTGGTCACTCTGTTAAATTTAGTTATATATAAATTAAATACATTTTAATGACTCTTATGTTTTTTATTACACAATACTTGAAATGACTGGTGGTAATTATAATCTTGACGTTGCAAGTAAGGAGATAATTTATTGACTTTTGTAACAAACCATAAGTAAGTCTGGAAGTTTTTTTATCTCGATCTACGCCTCTATGTTGTTTGCATATTTTATGTAAAAAATTGGGAACCACACACATAGCTGAGGTGCATAAGAAATAGAAGCAACTAAAGCAAGGACTGACTTTAAGTGAATAGAGAAAGAACAAATGTGAATAAAATATATAATTAATGAAATGAAATTCAAAAGAGGATAACAAAGAAATGGGATGATGTAAAAGGATAACATAGAAATGGGATGCTGTAAGAGGATAACGTAGGAATGGGATAATATAAGAGGATAATATATAAATGGGATACTGTAAGAGGATAACATATGAATGGGATAATATAAGAGGATAATATA